GCGGGGGGGGGGGCCGCGCCACCACGGCCCGCAGGTTTGGGGGCTCATCCCTCTGGAGTGCAGAGGGGCCAGATCCAGCCCAGAGGTCTGGTGCTGTGCACAGCCCTCCCGGGGGGGGCTGCAGGGGTGTCCCCATCCTCTGCACCCCCGCAGTGGGCGCGGGGAGGCAGCGAGGGGTGAGACCCGCGGGCACTTCTGTGAACTCGCCCCGTTCCTCCCGGCCGGCACCTCCGCGTGTTTAATTCAGCAAGGTCCCCGGGAGGGGGGAGGAGAAGGAGCCGCCCCCCAGCTCCTCCCAGTGCCCTTCTCCATCCTTCATCCTTCTCCTTGTCCCCTCCAGCCTCCCTCCTCCAAGCCCCTTGGCAGCAGGAGGGGCAGCCAGAGGAGAGCTCAGCCCTGGGGGCTGCACAGCCCTGCCCACCCTGGGGGGCTCACGGCCCCTCTCCCCAGGCTGGCAGATTTATTTCCATCCTCCTCATCCCTCTGTCCTCCTCACCATCACCAACCAACTTTGCTCTGTGCCCACATCCCAGCAAGGACCAGCCAGAGACTCTGCCTGGGGCTCCCGAGCTATTTTAAAATTGCAGTTCTTGATGGGGCTACAGGTCAAATGCAGTTATTAGAACTTAGTAACTGTGGTTTTAACAACCATCTGGCACTTCTTTTATATGCAATAACCATTCCATTACATCAAAATAAAATCCACGTTTAAGGCACTTAATTGCACAAGTGGCCTTTAGCTTTTTCTGTCTCATCTCATAAAAACAAAACACCAAAAAAAACCACCCCAAAAGCAGCAACAAAAATCATTCCTACTTCCATCTGTCACAGCAGAAGAGCTCAGCTGTGGGTCTGCAGCCTCCTCTTGAGGCTGGGCTTGTGTATGTGGGGTGTTTCAGCTCCTGGGAGGTGTCAGGGATAAAAAAATAGGTTTCTCCTCACCCCAGCTTCTCTCCAGGAAGGACAATGGGAAGGGAAACACAATCACAGCTGGCCAAAACATGTCTTTTGGTTTCTAGCAAGTCATAAGGTGATGCAAACCCAACTCAGCCTAAAAAAAAAAGCTCTCTCTGGGACAGAATATCAAAATCAGACACTCTGATGCAGAACATTTTCTCTTCCCCACAGGAAAGCTACAGCAACAGGACTGTGCAATGGGCTTCAGAGGAGCTGCATCTCCCAAGGGAAAATGGGAGAGGAATCACCCAGTGCAGAAGGTGCTGAAGGCACAGGTGGGTGCACATGATTGTCCCATCGTGCCCATTTGTGGGTACCCACCCACGCCGTGAGCATGAGGTGATGTGGTCAAACAGCTTCAGGCTTAATAATGAGGGGATTTAGGTGAGATTGGTGCTGCTGAAGCAGGGATAAAGGGCAGCACGTTTTGGCTGGGCTTTGTGAAGCCACGGGTGGAACCGTCCCAGCTGCAGCTGTGTCACGCAGGGAGGAGCAGAGGGGTGGCCGGGCAGCACGGGGAGCGACCTGCCTTCTCAGCGGTGGTTTTCACCCTTTTACCAGCTCCGTGGCTCCTCGTTCTCCCCCTTCTCCAAGAGCCTTGTGCCCAGAACCGGGGGCGGTGGGAGGGAGGGGGGATTGCTGCGGCTCTGCGGGATCTTCTCCGGAAGGGAAAAAAAGCACAAGTTCCCAGTGCCCTCTGCAGGAGGAAGAGCCGCTCCGTTCCCGGTGCGGGGCCCGTTCCC